TTAGGTTTAGGTTTAGGTTTAGGTTTAGGTTTAGGTTTAGGTTTAGGTTTAGGTTTAGGTTTAGGTTTAGGTTTAGGTTTAGGTTTAGGTTTAGGTTTAGGTTTAGGTTTAGGTTTAGGTTTAGGTTTAGGTTTAGGTTTAGGTTTAGGTTTAGGTTTAGGTTTAGGTTTAGGTTTAGGTTTAGGTTTAGGTTTAGGTTTAGGTTTAGGTTTAGGTTTAGGTTTAGGTTTAGGTTTAGGTTTAGGTTTAGGTTTAGGTTTAGGTTTAGGTTTAGGTTTAGGTTTAGGTTTAGGTTTAGGTTTAGGTTTAGGTTAGATATAGTTTAGGTTACAGCTTAGGTTTAAGTTTTGGTTTAGAGAAATGAAACTGAATTATTATTAGCCTAGACTATGTTTATTCTTTTCCAATTCGTCAGAACAGTTTACGTTATAATGTTTTAAAGACATCAGAGTTTTGTGTTCCATTCTGTACACATACAGTTGCTCTGTTCTGTTGTATTGTACTCTGTTAAGTATCGTAGAATGTTTCTTTTTTTCTTTGGTTTGTTCTGGTCTCAGGTGTTTTAAAAAAAATTTTCACCGTAGCGAAGAAGTGGTTTGCAGCTAGTCAATAATTTAAACCGCTAGGCAGTGTGTCATTTAGTGATTGGTATAGGCCACTTTGTTTTCGTGTTGTTCATCGGCGTTTACACAACACTAAGGTGGGATAGGGATTAGGACGAACATCTAATTGCATATTAGTTTTGGTGGTGAATCACGGTAATGCTCGCAGTGATGGCCTATAATGTTGCTGTTGATGGCCGCAAATGGTTGTAAGGGTCTCTTATGTTTCTGTTGTTCATTGAGATCATTGATATATTTTAGCTATAGGCCATTACGACTGAATCGGCTAACAAGAGAGAGTATGCACGTTGCACAACACCGGATGCTTGAAACTTCTTAACATTGGTCTCTAATTGCAGTGGGGTGGAAATGAAAGGCGTGCAGAAAGCAAACAAACAACAATTCACAACCCGGAAGGTAAGACTTAACGATTTACAAATGTCTCATTGGTTGTTAACCATAGAATACATCGCATCAGGAAGTTTTAGTTCATATTCAAAGTTCAGAAAAAATAGCAGAGGATCTGAAGTTGCAAATACCGCTCATATGTCAAATGTAAATACGCACAATTTATAGTGTGAATCATTTCTTTTATAAAAATTGTTTTTTCACTTTACGTTCTTTCATATTCTCGTTTACTGAGTATCGAGGCAGTATGGTAATCATGCAAAAGATCGTTTTATACCTTAATGAAAAGAAAAAAAACTTAGTTTTGCGATTTTTTTCTTTGTTAACACGTTAACAGATTGTCGAGAATTCCAATATAAGTATTACATGCAATTTTTAGTTTTTATAAACTTTTTCCTTTAACTAGAAGTTACACATACTCTACATCCTGTTTTTGTTTTTATAGAACTTGAGTACCATTTTCAGTTAGGTGGATAAGATTTCGTACGCATGTTTGTATGCGGCTTTACACCTGAACGCTCGTAGCTTAGTCTTGACATGACGTCATTGTTTGTGGGCTACTTCAACATCTGTGTCAACCCGATCATGTACGTGCACCAACAAGAAGTTCCAGACTGCGTACATACAACTTTTTACAGTCTGCGTTTGGCTTGTATGTAAGACCAATCGATTAGATCTGGGGAAAGAACACTTGACCTCTTCTAACCAAAATATCATCATCTAATCATCATCATTTCCCTTTCGTTCCCAAGACAAATGGGGCAGATGAACAAGAGTTAATCTGTTTCTAGTGCCTAGGCATACAGGAGTATAGTGTGGTCAGAACTATGCCAATACTCTTTAGTTTTCCTAACGTGAATCAGGTACCCATCAGAATTTTGTAGACTCAAGGACGTCTTACAGACTCGAGTCCAAAATCAGAAATCGACACTTTCAGGTTTAAAACTGACATTTTTTCAAATAACTAACAATCGTATATAGTATACAAAAACTAAATATTTTTGGTAGTTTCTTTATAAAATGTGAATAATTGGTTGAATTTTTCAGAAGAATTTTCATGTTTAGGTTTTGTTTTTGTTTTTTTCTGGTTTATTTTTGTAATAATTCTTTCGACAAGCTTTGATGCTCGTTTGACTAGAATTGTTTCGACTCTACAGATCCCAGCCGCAATGATATGCATTTAGTCACCTCCAATGCTTTGTACAATCTTTTCAGACATGAAAGCAGGCGTCAAAGAAGAAATCTTTCACGCACCGTCTCCCTCCTCGACAAACTAGAAAAACCATATATACGAGCCGGCCCGCGGCATAACATACGCCGCTATTTAGTTGTTTCTAATTTTCAATAATTCATAATTTGTGAATTCGACAGTACCAACGCTGACACTGAAAATATTTCTTTAAAACACTATTAGTAGCTGGTCAAGGACCATAACCCCCCCCCCCCCCTTCCTTCCCTCCCCCCCTCCTCCCCCCCCTACGTTTACAATCGTTGGCTCTGCTTGTAAACATTTAGAGTGAACACAGCTCACTAAAACCATGTAGGGGTGGGGAGGTAGGGAGAGCGTTTGCAGCTTGTTTTCTAACGGCTCGAAGAAGAGAATTATATATATATATATATATATATATATATATATATATATATATATATATATATATATATATATATATATAATATTATATAGTGTATAAATGTTTATTAAGAAGCATATACCCGGTATATCTTGTGGTTAGGTAATATATTACTTTGCCAATTAAATGTCTATATGCAAATATGGACGTTTGAAAAAATATCACATAACCCTAAACCTAACTCTAATTTTAAACTTAACACTAACCACCAACCAAAACCAAAAAAAAAAAACCCAGAACACAAACTCAAGCACAAACTCATATATAGTATACGGAATATTATTTTTATAAAAAAAATAAAAGGTAATATTTAAAATACCTGTGTTTTTACATACAACAATGCACTTCATCAATCCATGCAAAAAAGATAATTGTTATTTTTCCAACATCAGAACAAACATAAAAAATGTATTTTTTGTTAAGTTATCTATCCAGAGAAGTCACTGGTACAAAGGGACATACTTAGTATACAATCGTCAAACAAAATTATAATTTTTGTGAAGGTTTTAATTTTAATTTTGCTATTTTTTTGTACATTACGTCAGTTAAAAGATAAGTTGTAAAATGAAAATTTAGTTTGACAGCAATCACTTTTGCGTTTTTAATCATCAATTTAAATTTTAGTACAAATATAAAAAAATAAAAATATTACATAATTTTGATTATCTCCTGTTTGTTTTACTATATACTATTCTTACATAAACATACATATATACAGAGACACTGAGTCCATTTGAAGTTTATAGATTTGAAATATGCATTTTCAAAAACAAATGCTAGCTATTACAACTGCCCTGTTGGTCAAAAAAATCTGCATACAAATCTGCATATACATTTTCAGTTTGATCTAGATCCACCAGTAGGACACGCCCTGTTTCAGTCTGTGTCATGTTGTCGTACACAGAGTTTTGTCCTACAAGAGAAATTTTTCACCATTATTACACAACAAAAATATCAGTAGGTATCCATGATATGATGCCGGTAACTAAAAGTCTTGATCATAAGTGTATATTATATATTTTTTTAAAATCCAGTATCTATATCTAATGTTTATGACCAGATGACCATGTCCAAATATTAAAGGCAAAAAAGACCACGACCCAGTCAAGTGGTCATAGCCCATTTATAATGACTCTATATCATATAAAATGGTGACAGGACAAATGATCTCAAACAAAATATCTCAGACAAAATATTTCACGGACAAATGATCTCAGGACAATGATCTCAGGACAAATGATCTCAAGGACAAATGATCTCACGGACAAATGATCTCAAGGACAAATGATCTCACGGACAAAAAATACCAGGACAAAATCATATCTATACAACTAATCATATCTCGTTAAAATTTTGTCACTAACAAGGATTCAATTACCAGGAAACACTGATCATGATTCAATATACATGTCGTAACAGCCACTATTGTCTTTAAAACAACAACAACAACAAACTAGTACTAGATATAAATATTAAAATCACCTTGGTAGTCCAAACAATCAGCGTACACATTTTCAGTTAGATATATTTCCACTTGTTGAACATCCACAGTCTCTGACAGCGTGATGTTACTATAATCTTTGCTTTGTTCTGAAATTTTTTACCATCATTATAGCAATACTCATTAAAATAACCTTAAGCTTAGACATAATAACAATAGCGAAATGTCCATTAACCAGAGTCATGAATTCAATAACTTGGATTCAGTATCCATATGTCAGTGGTTTTAAGCAAGGGGTCGTCCATAAATGACATCACACTCGTAGGGGGTAGAAGGGGGGGGGGGGTCAGTAATGTTGTGACGATGTATGATGATGGCGGGGAGGGGGAGGGGGGGGGGTTCAGATTGTGCGCCGTCACACTTTTGCATTATAAAAAAGCAATGTTAGAAAACGAATTGTAGACGTTATTTCGCGTTTCAGATAACTGTTTAAATAATTTGTAACAGGAATTGATTAAAATACTCTATTTTGACAGAGTTCAGACAAGATTTAGGAAAAATATCGAAGTTTTAAAAACCAATTCAACTGCAATTTTGAGGGGGGTTGTAGGCTGAGTTGTGACGTCTTTTTACGGGGGAGTGGGTGTGGCTTTTTGTGACAATGTGTGACGGATGGGAGGAGGGAGGTAAAAATCGTCAAAAAAGCGTGACGTTATTAATGGATGACCCCCAAACGCCTATAAAATCCATGCACTAATATTTTTTTATGTTCTAATGATCATATATCACTGACCATTATCCAGTGACCATGACTTAATATATATAGCTCAAAAAGTCCATGACCGAAAATCTAATTAAATCCTTAATTAATGTATCAATGGTTTTCAAAAAAAAAATTATTCATTTAGCAATGATTAATTAAGTTATGTATCTAATATAGGATGACTTAAAATCTACATTTATTTTATGAGCAATTATTTTACTTATTTGGTTCTCGTTTATTGTGGTGTATCTTATTTGGTTCTCGTTTATTGTGGTGTATCCAAATTCCTTCAGTTTCCCGCTGAGTGACCATATTTCACAACGATATTTGATAGCTAGCAACACTGCAAGCAGGAGACACATGACCAGAATGCAAAAACTTGTCACAATGCCTATCCATTCAGTTTGTCCAAATGAATACATCTTTTCTGAAACAACAAACACTTTAATTATCTTATGTGGATATAAACATGTGCAGTTATGAATAGTATGCATACTGATTTCCTTAGACGAAATTAAAACAATCATCCATGAACTGTTAATTTTATAACATTAACATAGAAAGTTTGGTTTGTTATAATCAGATGGACTATAATTGAAATGGATACTGAATAATATCAACATTAATCCACAGAACAGCGTAAAACACGCGGTTTTGCAATAACATACATTCAGACTATGTTATGAGAAGAGTTCTGAATTGCTACACTATATCGCTATATTGAATAAAAACAATTTATTTTTAAAGTTTAATCTCGATTTTATTCAGTTTATTGTTACATAAACAAATTAATTTACATTTAGTACAAATACACGCCTCTTACCCAAAGAGTCGCTGGAATCATTCTTAAACTTATTTCTCGCTGTAGTAATGCTAGGTGTTGCAGTGGTTGGCTGATATGTTGTTGGATAAGTTTCAGGAGTGGCAATTATCTCTGCGAATCAAGACAAAGTAAAAACGTTTAACCGGCATTACTTTTATTCCTTTTTTGAATACATCAAAGAGGGGAAAAACGGTTTAGTTAGAATTTAGAAGCTCATAAATTAGAAGTTCGTTGGAACAACCTATTTTTAAAAAATAAACAAGTTAAAAACTAAGCGTTACGTTTGTTCTTTTTGTTAAAAATTGGTATAAGGTATTTAAAAATCCAATAACCATTAAATTGTTTAGTAAACCCTACACCACCATCAATATTCACTTTATCAACGACCATTTCGGGAGAAACAGAATTTGATGATACTACAAATACCTATGGGCGTGGCTAAATTTATCTGACCAATCTATCAAATGCAGTTTTTATTTATACAAGAATATATATTTGAATAAAATAATAATCGCTTGGATTTAATTATACTTATATGATGATGCTGATTAATGTTTTGTCTGTCATCTGTCTTAAAAAGATGTATTAAGACACATCCCTAGATATTCTCTGGTTGTAAAAATGAAATCCCAACTTCAAAATAAAGCGTGTATACTATTACATATTTGATAAATACTTACCATGAAGTTCCATACAAATAAAAGAGAAAGTTTTAGCACAATCGTCATCATTTAACATTCCATAGTCATAAAGTTCAAGGCAGTCTTCATTTCCTTCCTGATCGTTGGGTTCGTTAACATGCCACAATGATGTTAGATTAGCTTCGGTACCATCTGTCCACATCCATTCACCTTCTTGTAATTGATCATTACCACCAAGCCACACTTATGAATGAATAATATGTATATATATATATATATATATATATATATATATATATATATATATATATATATATATATATATATATTATATATATATATATATATATATATATATATATATATATATATATATATATATATATATATATATATATATATATATATATATATATATAAAGTTCAATTCTGTATGTTTGTTTGTAAAATGTTTGTAAAATGTTTGTCGTGGATTACAAAGGAATATAACAAAAAAACGAAAAAAACGAGACCTCGATGGATTCAAGTGTTAGATTATTAATGTGCTCATGGTCTAATTTATGAGTTAAAAAATTAATACTGAAAGTTTTGGGAAATAATTTTCATTTTTCAAACTGATAGCAATAATTGTCGGCATGTAAAATTTAAAAAATATCATCTTTTACAAAAATTCTAATTATGTCTGAAAATTATTTATATTTAGTCCTTTAGCTTTTACTTCCCTTTGATAAATTAGGAAAACACAATTACTTCCCTTTATAAAAAATAGCTTAGTGGAAGATAATTTACTTTTTATTGCTTGTTTTGATGTTGGGAAAAAAATTTACATAATAAGCGGGAATTGATCAAGTGCAAATGTTGTAGGTATTTTTAATACTGCCTTTTATATATTCTATACACTGAACTTACTGTTTACTAATTATTTTTTAAAATCAATAACAGTTAATAAGCCATGTCGTACATGTCCTATATGTTTATTTCTTTCCGTTTACGGATAAGCTTGGAGTATTATAATTGTTAATTAAATTGAAACAGGCGCGTCCGCCGGCGCCCCACCAGGGTTCAATTTGGCGCCCTGTGCTATTCTGTGAGCGTTATGGTGCATAATTTCGCTTTAAACAGTGCGAGAGAGTATGGATGAGAAACGTTACTATAGTCTTAAAGTAAATCGAATCCGGGCGTCCTCTGGCGCCCAGATAGGGTGCCTACGTTCGTTTAAGAGAGTGCAAAATACTATGAATAAGTTGGGGTATTATAGTCGTTTATTAAGCTGAAACAGGCGATTCCGCCGGCGCCCCAGCATGATGCGATTTGGCGCCCCGGGCTAGACTGTGAGCACTTTGCGTTTATGTTCGCGTTTGTGTTTTCTTTGTGTTTAGGTTGGGTTTGCATTAGTGGTTGGGTTTGCGTTTTGATTTTTTTCGTTTTCGTTCTTTCTTTTTCGTTTTTGTTTGTGTTTTTTTTTCTTTGGGTTTGTGTTTGTATTTTGTGTTTGTGGTTGGTTTTGTGTTTGTGGTTGGGTTTGGGTTTGTGTTTGTGTTATCGTTTGTATTAGTGTTTGCGTTTATGTTATGTTTCCTTTCTTTATTTGTGTTTTTGTTTTGGTTGGTTGTGGTTATGGTGGGCGATGCCGGGTATATGCTGATTACTAAACACACATGTCATGTTTCTTTACAAATAGGTTTCAGAAAGCTCTTTTATAGACACCTGCACCAAACTACAAGAAGATATACAATTTTATATAATACTTGCCTTCCCGGTTTGTGTTGTGTTTTGTTTGTGTTGTGTTGTGTTTTGTTTGTGTTGTGGTTGTATTGTGTTTGTGTTGTGTTTGTTTGTGTTGTGTTGTGTTTTGTTTGTGTTGTGGTTGTATTGTGTTTGTGTTGTGTTTGTTTGTGTTGTGTTGTGTTTTGTTTGTGTTGTGGTTGTATTGTGTTTGTGTTGTGTTTGTTTGTGTTATGTTCGCGGTTCTTTTTTTTTTGTGTTTTGGGTTTGGTTGGTTGTGGTTAGGGTGGGCAATGCCGGATATATGCTGATTACAAAACACACATGTCATGGTCCTTTACAGATAGGTTTTTCACAGAGGCCAGAGAAGGGCCTGGCCGGGACGGCTAGTATATATATATATATATATATATATATATATATATATATATATATATATATATATATATATATATTGCACGCGTTTTTGTCGTTTGTATTTTATTTTCGCCTTTCAATCCAGTTTCTTCCGGGATATTTTGTGTACCTTGTCGTCTGGGTTTTCTAGTTGGCCATGATTGACATAGTCTATTTTAACTATTACTTACCTCGAATATTACTTGGTCTGAGAGAAAAAAGAAATGTTAACACAGAGAGTGAAAACACTTTGGCCAGGCTCCTTTTTCCAATAAAATTTGAGCAGTATTTCTTGAAATAAAAAATAAAAATAAATATTTAAGTTCCAATGTTATATTTATATTTAAACACTAATTATTTTTCGAGAGAAAAATTACTTAAGTGTATCTGCGCTATAAAATAAGTGATTAAGTTATTAAGGTTTCAGAGCTTCAAATCTTTTTACTGTAGCTAGACATATCCTAAATACTGAAATTACCTTCGCTTCAGTCCAATTCTTTGGTGTTGTGAATAGCTCATAGCAGTTGTTGTCAAATATCGTAGCCGTTTTGCTGATACACGTGGCTGGACATTTAGAATAAAACATACTAAAAAGTCATTCATTGTTAAGTAAGCCGCTGCCATATTAACAAAGCCAATTTTTAAAAGTTTAATATAGTTTTTTTTGTCTCTACATGTACAATTTAATTCAATTCAATGCTTTTTTCCCAATGTGTCTCTTACCTGTCTTTGAAACATTTCTCTCTGTAGTAAAGCTAAGTGTTGAGGTGGTTGTTCGTAATGTCGAATACGTTGTTGGGTTAGTTTCTGTATTTGTGTTTGTCTCTGCAATTATTAAAAATAATGAAAGCTAAAAACTTAAAAATATAATGTTGTGTTACGTTTGCAACTCCTTATAAAAATTTAACTTTATGAAACCAACGAAGTAATCCCCTTCATCTTACCACAAACGTCGTAATATAGTTGTGATTTGTTAATTTTAAAACATCGGAATCACCTCATGTTAAAAATCGTGATTGTCTTTTATAGGTAAAGTTGTTTAAGTCCTCCATCGAGCTAAAAAAAAATTGTAAGCGTCTAGAGTCGACGTAATCGTTCAATAATACTAAAAAGTTAAATTTGTCGAAACTCAAAATAAATAAAAAAGAATCAAATGTTATTTAGCATAACACTACTCCACATTTATTTAGTTCTGGTTTCTCCAAAAAAAACGCACATGAATTTATAAAGTAGTAATTTTCCGCGCTATTATACACGCAGCTGTTTACTTAGGGCGCAATTCTTTTTTCTACTATATTCTATTCTATTTTTACAAGCTTTTATTTAACTCACTTCCTCTGTCTGTCGTCAGTCTGTCTGTCTCAATCGAAACGCATGAGCAAATTTACAGGCACTTCTAACAGACAGATACTGTTCGTATTCGGTACATGGGTGCAGAGGCGTAGCGAGGGGGGGGGGGGCGGGGGAGGACATATGTCCCCGGGCGCCGACCTTAGGGGGGGCGCCAAATTGAAAGTTTGAGGGGGGGGGGTGCAAATGAAAAGTTCGAGGGGGGGGGGGTGCAAATCGAAAGTTTGAGGGGGGGGGGGGTGCAAATGAAAAGTTCGAGGGGGGGGGTGCAAATCGAAAGTTTGAGGGGGGGTGCAAATGAAAAGTTCGAGGGGGGAGGGTGCAAATCGAAAATTTGCTCCCGAGGGGGGCGCCAAATTGAAAGTATGTCCCCGGGTGCCGGGAAGGGTCGCTACGCCTCTGCATGGGTGGACATGAAGACAACGCAACATGACATTAAATTTGACTTAATTGGTTGCCTAATTAATTTTTATGAAATAATTAAAATGTGTCTGGCTGTCTCATGTTCAATAGGGTGTCATCACGGTTAATAGGTAGGCAATGATTTTTAGTCAGGTAACTCTATTGTAAATAAAACATGTAAAGTACTAAAAAAATTCATAAAAACCGTTTTAATAACAAGCTTTTATGTAATAATGCACAAAAAAGTAGAAAATAAATTATAGACTACTATTAAAATAACTGTAAAGTAAAGCGTGGGTCTCTTCCTAAATGTTAGTAAAGATATCCAATAGATATTAAAGTGACCCAATGCTTTTCTTTATAGTTATTTAAATAGTGGTCTATAATTTATTATCTCCTTTTTTGTGCATTATTACATACAATTGTTATTAAAACGTTTTTTATGAAATTTTTAAAAGTTTAACTAATTAAAAATTGATTTAATGGCATGTCTATATCCCTCAAAGTTTTATATATGAATATTCGAGAAATTTAGGGGATGTTCTTCCAGATCTATTGTAAATATATTATAGAGCGTAAATTTCATAAGGTCGTTTGAATTAAAAAGTTATGTTGTATTATAATGTTTAAAACGAATAATTAATTTGAAGGTTGCTATTTAAAATAAAACGGTTAAAAATTAGGCCTAAACGCTTCTTTTGGACATCTTTTCAATTCAGTATACGTGTCAAATTGTTATGCGCAATTGATGCCATTATACTCTGATTTCAGCCTGCTTTTCTTTTTGGAATTGTTTCAATATCCTTTGTCAACACAACCACAGTTGATTTGCGTTTGGGTTTGGAGGAGGACGTGGATAGTGTTACGTATCGTGTATCATTATTCCTGTCGTAAACCTTTTACTATTTATTATATTATTGTAGTATTATTTATGTATAGTATAGTGTACGATGCAACAGACTAGACTAGTCTTTTTTTTTTTTTAATATTTCTATTGTCATATAACACTGTAAATGTCATCCAACCAATACTGTTAAATAAGTTTTTACAAGATAGTTTATGTGAGCTGACATTCTCCTTTTATCACTATGATTTCAGCAAAGTTTTACCGGCATTAAAAAAGCAAAAGTTATGAGCACTATTAAATATACATTTTTTAAAGACAAAGACATCTTTCAAACTACACATAAATGTCTGAATAATTCATTAATTAACTACCGTCTGGCAGTAAATTTATCTTTCACACGGATGACAGCATCAGTGATAGTCAAGATTTCAGATGTCAAGGAAATGTCAAGGTAAGGAATGTAAAACTAAATTTTGATTTTGATAGCTTGGCGTATATGCATCTTTTTATAACCAAATCCAAAATCTTTAAATCAAGGAGTTTGAGTACCGATTATTTTTTCCTGCAAATAATTATTTTCGTTTTAACAGAAAACAGCAATGTAAAAGATATGTAACCAGTCTTTGTTATCATGCAGTAAAAAGATACATCTAGATAAATTTATATAGGCCTACCCAAATTGTAGTCAGAAACATTCATTGGCTTTGATTCATTTCTTATTGTTGTGAAGCTGATTGCTGCCGTCGTTGTGATGGATGTCAAGGATGTTGTTGTGTCAGTTTTCAGTGTTGTGCTTGTCTCTTCAAAAAAGGACAGAGTACACATTTTTTTTTGATGGTCAATGTTTTTATTATTTTTGTAAATATATTAAAGATAGAACGGTCCAATAGAACGTAATTCCATTCGCCCCTTCACAAACGATGGGGATATAGTTGTGATGTTTAAATTTAAAAATTATCGGAATCACCTCAGGTTAGAGAATGTGACTATGCTACATTACACACGATGTTCTAGTTCTTCATCCAGCTATGTTTGGTTTGAAGCATATGTGCATGTATAATTGTACTTGTTTAGCCAGAGGCGTAGCTAACCTTCCCGGAGCCCGAGGACAAACTTTCAATTTGGCGCCCCCCTGGGTAGCAAATTTTCAATTTGCACCCCCCCCTCAACTTTTGATTTGCACCCCCTCTCAAACTTTCGAATTGCACCCCGCTCAAACTGCAAAAATGCAGCTATAATGACATTTTAATTTGTTTTTACAACCCATTTTGGCACCCGTGAAATATGCCCCCCCCCATCGCTACGCCACTGTGTTTAGCTATTAACATGCTAAAAATGAAAATAAAACGTACATACTATTTAAATTTCGAAGACTTAAAAAAATGAATTTTAAAGAAATTTATAAATACTGACCATGAACTTCCATGCAAATAAAAGAGAAAAGTTGTGCACAATCGTTATCATTTACGGTCCCGTATCCTAAGATTTCAAGGCAGTCTTCATTTCCAAATTTATCGTTGGGTTCGCGTTTATTCCACATTGATGTTAGATTAGCCATTGTACCATCTGTCCACACCCATTCACCTTCTTGTAATTGGTCACTAGCTCCAAGCCACACTTATGGAAGAAAGATATCAACATTGATAAGTTTGAAAACTATTTGCGACCAAGTCCGTTTCTGTTTTATCTACGGCATAATTGTTCGTCATATCGAATATTTGCATGAAATGACACTATTTACAAATATAATACATTTCTTACTTACATTTAACACAATAACAAGAAACTTTTGAAATACTTGGCGATCAGACAAAAACTATATGCAACTTTAGATTACATTGAGGCTACTTATAGATTCGATATAATGAGAAGGCCTACAACCTAATGGCCGAGCTTGCGTGTTAAATTTGTTTAAGCTTGGATTCTTAATTTTCTGGAGCCACTGAGTCTTTACATTTCTGTCGGGTTCTGTTAGTCAAGTTACTTATTTTCGTTGGCTGTCTATGATCGTTTCATACTTTATGTTAATTATTGCATACCTCGTGTACCACTTTGTATGATTGAAATGAAGTATCTTAAAACTGAAGGCGAAGAAACTTTGGCCAGGATCCTCGTTCCATTGAAATTAGAGCAGTATCTCTTCAAATACAAATTAAAGATCCAATATCTTAATTAATATTTTATGCTCTAATATTTATCGTAAGAAAGGTAACTAAGTATATCTGAAGTATGCAAAAAGTGATTATGTAATTAATATTTCATTGCGTCTTGACTCTAGGTACAAATATACTTAATACTGAAATTACATTTGCTTCAGTCCAATTCTTTGCTGTTGTGAACAGCTCATAGCAGTTGTTGTCAAACATAGTAGCCGTTTTGCTGAAACACTCTGTTGGAGATTTAGAATAAAATGCCATACAAAGATTTCTATTGTTTTATGAGAAGTCGTTATATTAAATAAAAACAAATTATTTTTAAAGTTTAATCTCGATTTTATTCAGTTTATTGTTACATTAACATATTGATGAACACTTAGTACAAGTACACGCCTCTTACCCAAAGAGTCGCTGGAAACATTCTTAACCTTTGACTCATTTCTCGCTGTAGTAAAGCTTGGTGTTGCTGTGGTTGTCGGATAAGTTGTTGGATAAGTTTCAGGAGTGGCAGTTGTCTCTGCGAATCAAGACAAAGTAAAAACGTTTAACTGGCAATACTTATATGTCTTTTTACTTTCTCGTCTACGCAGTATAGAGGAACTATTGTAATTTGTGTGTGCCTGTATACAAGTATTTGTTTGGCGATTAACATTTACAAAGGTAAAAATAAAACTTGTAGGACTATACTATTAAAAATATGTTGATTTAATTAATGAAAGGAAATTTAACAGAAATTTATAAATGCCTACCATGAACTTCCATACAAATAAAAGAGAAAGTTTGCGCACAATCATAATCATTTAGTGTTCCATCAACAACAATTTCAAGGCAATCTTGATTTCCGTCCAGGTTGTTGGGTTCGCCATAACCCCACATTGTTGTTAGATTAGCCTTTGTACCATCTGTCCACACCCATTTGCCTTCTTGTAGTTGGTCATTACCTCCAAGCCACACTTATTGAAGAAATAGATGCACATATCGCAACACTTTGATAATTCAAAAACTTTTTGCTACCGTTCTATTTTAACAAAGTCATTACAAAATAAAATGAATTATTGAAACTTTGCACGCTATTACAATTAAGACACTACTTACTAATTCAATTATTATGTTTAATAATTAGTTGCGTTTAACAAAATAGCAAGAAACGATCAAATAACTTCGAGAACAGACAGATTTGCAGCAACTTAGATTACTTTAAAGTCACCCATACATTTAATATAATTAGTACAAATTGACGACCAAGCTTACGAGTTATATATTTTGAGTGATATTGTTGGGAGCCAATTTGTCGTTGGTTTATTAATCCCCCGAGCCAGTTGGTCGTAGAATTTATTCGGGTTCTATTAGTCGAGTTACTTTCTGTCCTTAGCTGTCTATGTTAGTTTAATATTTTTTTTTTAAATATATGCATACCTCGTGTATAACTTGGTCTTAAAGAATTGAGGTATCTTAACACAGAGGGTGAGGAAACTTTGGCCAGGATCCTTGTTCCATTGAAATTAGAGCAGTATCTCTTCAAATACAAATTACAGATCCAATGTTTTAATTAATATTTTATGCTCTAATATTTATCTTAAGATAAGTAACCTAAGTATATCTGAACGTGCGGCGTCAATTCGGCCAATGACGAAACGGCCCCGTCAAAACGACCCCGACAAAACGACCCCGTCAAAACGACCCCGTCAAATCGGCCCCGTCAAAAGGGCCAGCGACATATGGACCCCGTCATATAGGCTCCCGACAAATTGGCTCCCGTCATTTAGGCTACCGACAAATAGGCTCCCGTTATATAGGCTCCCGACAAAAGGGCTCCAGTCAATAAGGCTCCTGACAAATAGGCTCCCGTCATTTTGGCTCCCGACATATAGTCTCCCGTCATTTAGTTTTTTCCACAAAACGGCCCCCGTCATTACGACTCCCGACAAATAGGCTCCCGCCATTTAGTTTTTCCACAAAACGGCCCCCGTCATTACGACTCCCGACAAATAGGCTAGCGTCATTTTGGCTCCCGACAAAAAGGCTCCTGTCAATTTGGCTCCAGACAAAAGGACCACTGACACAGTGGCGTAGCTGCCGTAAAGCTGGCGTAAGCAAGGCATGGGGGCCCAAGGCACATAGGGGCCCTTTTCCCTCATAAAAAATTAAAACTTTTACAATGGAATTTTAATATTTGTTACATATAAATAATTTAAAAAAAGAAAAAGGTTAAAAGTTCCAAAAATCCCCCCCCCCCCCACCGTTTCGGCAGTGGGATTCAGTGTTTGTGGGTCAAACAGAGCCCAATCGTTATAATAACACTACAGGCTATATCACTTTGTCGTGCAAGACATTGAGAGAATCAGCCTATAAATAAACTTTTTAGCAGTAGTAGGCAAGCATAATAATATAGTATAAATACAAAATCAGGACATATAAAATACAAAATGTTGCCTTCAGAATATTTATATATTAAAAAATATCCATCGTAAGTAGAAGTTGATCTCTTCGTTTAAATCCTCTGTAGCCTAACGCAGAGGCGTAGCGAAGGCGAGGCGGGGGGTGCGGGCCGCAACGGGTGACACCATTTAGGGGGGGGGGGGTGACACCAAAGGCAAAAAATTGTAAAATTTATAGAATGAAATGCCATTTTCCAGATCCATTAGTTAAAGTTAAATAATCTTCTAAGTACAAATCGAAAATTATATCAAGAGGGGGGGGGGGGGTGACACCACGACGTAAACGTAAACTATAAAGAAAACAATGCTACATCCAACTGTATTATAAACAGACTGTAGATAAACATCGTTACTATTAAGTCAGCAGTGATTAAAGCTTAAACACGTACGTGTACCAGTATGTGGCATATATATAAATTTTAGGCCTATGTAGGCCGACACACACACACACACACACATACACACACACACACATACATACATATATATATATATATATATATATATATATATATATATATATATATATATATATATATATATATATATATATATATATATATATATATATATATATATATGCATATATATATATATATATATATATATATATATATATATATATATATATATATATATATATATATATATATATATATATATATATGCTTTGTTTCCTGGGAGGGGGGTGACAATACGAAGTGCCGCACCGGGTGAGACCCGACCTAGCGACGCCACTGGCCTAACGGCTGACGAAGGGGCCCACTGATAATTTTTGCATAGGTGCCCAAAAATCCTAGCTACGCCACTGCACTGACAATACCGTTTCTGTAGAGACTAAGTCTCCCGGCAAAGCGGTCTCATTGAATATGACATCTGCCAGTGGGACCCCTTCATCAATATTCTTTAGAGTTAGCTTATCCAACACTCTTATGTAATACAACGTATGCATCTCTTGTTCGGCAGGCCTTATTTTTATATTAGTTTATCTATTATAAAATATAGTATGTTTTAATTTAAGGGTCATCTATCTATGACATCCATAATTGAGTCGGTTATAGGCTGTTCCAACTCATTGTGTGGGGAGAAGGGTCCACGCTGTACCTTCCTAACTGCAATATGCTTGTACAGGGGCGTAGCGAGGGGGGGGGGGGCGGGGGGTGCGGACCGCACCGGGTGACACCATTTAGGGGGGGTGACACCAAGGCAAAAAATAGCAAAATATATAGAGAAAAAGTTGAGTGGGTGGTGGTGCAAATCGAAAGTTTGGGGGGGGGGGGGGTGCAAATCGAAAACTTGAAAGTTTGTCCCCGGGAAGGGTCGCAACGCCTCTGGGGGGGGGGGGGTGACACCATTAAGTGCCGCACCGGGTGACACCCGACCTCGCTACGCCACTGTGCTTGTAGGTTATCAAAACAAAATGCTGTTATGTTAACATCATGTATATCATACATTTACACTTCTGTGCTCGCTTTTAAGCAACAGATTTTTTCTGTTGTAAATTACACATTATCAAAACTTTAGAATTGGTGGAATTTAGCTATTAAGGGCTCGATTTGTTGGTGAATTAATGTTGGTTCATGAAAAAATAATTTCATTCGGGCATTAAAATGAGGTTATGGTGGTATTGGAGGTAGGACACAATGGTTACTTTTATGCCAATAGTGGTCATATCATTCATTTTTCTGGAGCCAATATGTCGGGAGTCACTTTGTCAAAAGCCAATATGTCGGGAGCCCAATTGCCGGGAGCCCATTTGTCTTGAGCCCTTATGTCGGGAGCCAATATGTCGGGAGCCGCTTTGTCGGGAGCCAATATGTCCTGAGCCTATTTGTCAGGGGTTAATATGTCGGGAGTCCATTTGTCGGGAGCCTAAATATCGGGAGCCCATTTGTCGGGAGCCTATATGTGGCAAGTCAATATGACGGGAGCCCATTTGACGGGAGCCAATAAGTCGGGGCCCTTTTGACGGGGCTATTTTGACGGGGTCGGTTTGTCGGGAGTCGATTTGACGGGGTCGTATTAACGGGGCCGTTTTGACGGGGCCGATTTGTCCCGGGCCGTTTTGACAGGGCACCATATCTGAAGTATGCAAAAAGTGATTGTGTTATTAATATTTCATTGCGTCTTAACTGTAGGTACACATAAAATAAATATTGAAATTACCTTCGCTTCATTCCAACTCATTTCGTTTGTGAATAGCTCATAGCAGTTGTTGTCAAACATCGTAGCCGTGTTGCTGATACACTCTGTTGTAGATTTAGAATAAAATGCCATAAAAAGATTTCTATTGTTTTGTGAGAAGTCGTCACATTAAATGAAAACAAATTATATTCTAGGTTTAATCTCGATTTTATTCAGTTGTTTACTAATTAATATACATTTAGTACAAGTACACGCTTCTCACCCAAAGAGTCGCTGGAAACATTGTTAAACTTTGACTCATTTCTCGCTGTAGTAAAGCTAAGTGTTGCCGTCGATGTCGGATATGTTGTTGGAGAAGTTTTGGGTGACGCAGTTGTCTCTGCGAATCAAGACAAAGTAAAATCTTTTAACCGGCAATACTTTTACTCTTTTTTGTGTTAATACATTGTGTCTGGCCGACAGATCATGTTTTTATTTATATTACAAAACATTTTTGAATAATTCAAAAATAAAAAAATCATTTAAAGTAATTTTAAGTAATTTTTGGGTTAAAAATATCCGTACAACCTGACTAATGTGTTCTGTGTTCTCTGTTTATAATTTAATGTATACACGCTACTCTTGTGTAGCCTATTCCCTGTATGTAATAATGTAATTTTATCCAAATAAAAGCGTATTTTCTATTAAATTCGATAATTGGAAAAATTAAAAAAAAAAGAAATTTATAAATACGTACCATGTACTTCCATACAAATAAAAGCAGTATAAATAGTTTCATTACAAGGCATATCATTTAGCTAATGTGTTCTGTGTTCTCTGTTTATAATTTAATGTATACACGCTACTCTTGTGTAGCCTATTCCCTGTATGTAATAATGTAATTTTATCCAAATAAAAGCGTATTTTCTATTAAATTCGATAATTGGAAAAATTAAAAAAAAAAGAAATTTATAAATACGTACCATGTACTTCCATACAAATAAAAGCAGTATAAATAGTTTCATTACAAGGCATATCATTTAGCTTTCCATTATTATAAATTTGAAGACAGTGTTCAATTCCACCTTCGTTGTTGGGTTCTCCATTATTCCACATTGATGTTAGATTAGCCTTTGTACCATCCGTCCACACCCATTCACCATTGTGTAATGTGTCATTAGCTCCAAGCCACACTTTTGAAAGAAAGAAAACTATACCATTTAAAATTTGTTCAGATGTGTTGAACAGCTATGGAAAGATTGCTTAATATGACAATACTATTTTTTTGCTGTTAATGTATTGGATCATCCCAGGGACTAGGCCTTAGTAAATTGTTTCCCCTAGTCACTAAGGGAAACAACCAATTTACATTCTTCAAAGCGCAGCCAAGTTTGCTTAAAGCAAAGATCCTTTTAGTATTTAAAAGATTTTAGGGACCGATATCTAAAATTCCGTTATGGCAGATGCTTTACTGAAACATTCTCAACAACCTTTCAACATTTCATGGCGATTTAAGGAATTATTCTAATATAGATGTGTTGTGGCATAAGAAGACGTTAAGTGACGTTACTTAATTTGATAAGAGGAGGTTGAAACGGGAGCATACAATTAATACCCCTCCCGGTTATTAACACCCGGTCATTTCATTAATATCATTACCCTTTGATCAGGTACCCCCTGTCAATTACCCCCCTCCATGACCTTACCTCGACCCAAAAACTGCATAAGACATTACCTACCAACTGACAATTACCCATCCGTTGGGGTTAAGGAATCAAGAACGGTTACATTAACGGTAACGATAACGTTAACGTTAATGGTGATTGTATCGGTAACGGTAACGGTGACGGTGACGGTAAGGATATAATGTAATAGAGAATAGAGATGCGGCAAAGGTTAAGGATAAGCGTACCATTTTTGTGACGTACAGGGTTAGAGATTGGGCAATGGCTATGGGGAAAAGACTTGGATAGGTATCGGTATATTATTTATTCTAAAGAGGGGTAATTACGCTGGGTGGTAAATGAGAGGAGGTAATTGATCAGGGAGCGAATGATCTGGAGGGGGGGGGGGGGGGAGCATATTAGAGACAAAGCAAAGAGATTAATAATAGCTGAAAATCCGACATGTTTAATATATCATGGGCTTCTAATATCTGTTAAAAAATTAAAACCAAACTATATAGACCTACATTATTAGTCAACACAAGACCATATTAAATGTACACACTGATTCAGTGACTTAAATGATTCCGTTGAAAACCAGGCAATTCAATGGGTGTCCGGTCATAAACCCCCCGGACAAAAACCCCTGGACAATATTTAATACGAATATTTAATACGAATATTTAACTCTTGCAGTACTGTCAACGCTCGGCGTACACAAAGCTTTTGTTGTACACTTTTGCACCTGCCCAGTTTTTAGCCCTTTTGTCGGGGTTCCATTTGTCGAGTTCAGTGTCTGTCAATCTTTATTTATCAATGCAGTTTTCTCCGGGCGATACTTTTTATGCTGTCGCCTTGGTACCCTTAACGAATCAAACCCCAAGTTAACCGGACGTACTCTATTTTAATTCATGCCTACCGAATTCGTTATTTTTCCTGAGAGAATTGAGAAAGTCCAACACTGAGGGTGAAGAAACTTTGGCCAGGATCCTTGTTCCATTGAAGTTTGAGCAGTATTTCTTTAGAATAAAATAACAGTTCCAATGTTTAATTAATATTTTATACTCTAATTATTTATCACGAAGTATCTAAAATATAAAATATTCACTTACATAATTATATTTTCATAGCGTCAATTTATTTACTGTAGCTACACTTATCCTAATTTTCAAAAATACCTGCGCTTCAATCAAAGTCATTCGTGTTGTAATAAACTCATAGCAGTTGTTGTCAAACTCCGTAGCTGTTTTGCTGATACACGTTGCTAAAGTTTTAGAGTAAAATACAATTAAAAAATGTCTATTATTAACAAAACTACATTTTTGAAAATATGAGTAGTATATTAGGTCACTTTTGGAGCGAATTCTTGGCGGAGGCGGGAAGGAGCTGGCGCAAAGGTTATATAGTAAAATACTCGGAGGAGCAGGAGCAGCCTGGCGCAAAGACATATAGTAAAATACTCCCAGCCTGGCGCACGGTGAAGGAGCCGCAGGAGCAGCCTGGCGCAAAGACATATAGTAAAATACTCCCCCACCCTAGGGTGGCGGAGGCGTGAAGGGTGGGGGAGTGACTTGTGACGTAATCATTGATTTTGTGACGTATTCACTGACCTAGTTACGTAATTTAAATGCGTTTTTTAATTAGTACCAGGAAACTTAAAACCCATGACACTGTACGTTTAAGTGTTAGTGGAAAGTGTGGTACCAGCTGTTGCACAACTGATGCACAGCTGTCGCCTGTTGGTTAATGGATACACGGTGTCGAGGCGAGTCGATCAATATATTCCCATTAAAAAAACGGGCAGCGCCGAGTAAACCGCTGTAAATCCATGATGCGTGACCAACTTTAATTAGGTGGACCATCATACTGATGGCCGCGTAGCTGCGACCGAGAAAAAACCCATAAATCTCCGGTCGGTACCTGTCAAAAAACAAAGGATCGCTGGTGAATTGATAAGTAACAGATGTTGATAACGATTAGCCGCGGATAAATGGATGTTTGTAGTCGAGAGAAAGAATTTCTACTTTTGTTAGCGTTAGCGTTAGCGTTAGTAGATTATTTTAAACAACGCCATTCAACAAAGAAAAGAAATATATCAAATAAATAAATTAAACAAAGTAATTAAAATCAAACTACATAAAATGAATTTCAAACAAATAAACAAATAAACAAATAAACAAATTTAAAAATAAAAATTAATAATTTTAAAAAATTTAAAAATTAAAAAAATTTAAATAATTTAAAAAATTAAAATCAAATTACGTAACTCATTAATAATAATTAAACTAATTATAAAATAAAATTAAAAATTTAAAAAATTAAAAAATTAAAAAATCAAATTACGTAACTCGTGAATAAAAATTACACAATAAAAACAAAGTAATTAAATTAAACAACAAGTAAACAAACAAATTAAACAATCAAAGTAATTAAATTACATAACTAGTCAATAAAAATTCAAACTAATTATAAAATAAAATTAAAAATAAACAAAATAAAAAATAATTAAAAAGTAAACAAATAATCAAATTACGTAACTAGTCAATAAAAATTAATTAAAATTTTAAAAACTAATTAAAAAACGCATTAAAATTACGTAACTAGGTCAGTGATTACGTCACAAGGTCAATGATTACGTCACAAGGTCACTGATTACGTCACAAGGTCACCGAAGGTGACCCACCCTTCACGCCTCCGCCACCCTAGGGTGGGGGAGTATTTTACTATATGTCTTTGCGCCAGGCTGCTCCTGCGGCTCCTTCACCCTGCGCCAGGCTGGGAGTATTTTACTATATGTCTTTGCGCCAGGCTGCGGCAGGCTGCTCCTGCTCCTCCGAATATTTTACTATATAACCTTTGCGCCAGCTCCTTCCCGCCTCCGCCAAGAATTCGCTCCAAAAATGACCTAATATACTACTAATATGCAAGGGAATCAAAGCAAGTCTCTTGGTCCCGTGATCACGTATATACCAACAGCATTCGGAATGTAGGAGTGACTTCTAAAGTCAGCTCATCGAATGAAGACAGTCAAGTCCCATCTTCACCAGCGCTTTTCTATTCTAAAACGGTTTATTCTAAAGTAACTTCAAGTAAAATAACTTATTATTTGAGACTCCTAAGGAACTAATATAGTCTCCCGAGCACTAGGACCGAACCCCACTAATTGATGCCTACCTAGCCTGTAGTCTATTACGTAGCTATAATCAAGCACTTTGAGACCTGAGCAATGTTATTTCAATGATTATGCTCTATGGTAATTTATGTTCTAGAAGTTATAGAAATAATGTGGGAGGCTGCGTGTCTGTGTAGGTCTATGTCTTAGTTAACTCAACATTAAAGAGAATTGTTTGATTGTGTAGATATTTACCTTCTGTAAAGACAACTTGTGTGACAAGAACCAACAAGGTACATGTGTAAATCTTCATTGTGTTGATCCACGACATAATGAATCGTACAAAACCTGATCAAATATTTTTTTTTATAAATTTAAGTTTGGTTAAAATACTGCTTTAAAAAAAAAACGTAAAATGAATTACTACTTGAAAAATATTGGTACATAAAAAAAGTCCTAACCGAAAAAAATATTTGACCAGTTAACCTGACATCTATTTAAGAACTAGGAATTCATTTTTTAGTATAATGCCTGAATCAGTGGCCTAGAGAGATATCCCACTTTCTACATTTTGAATGTTATGTAGGCTACATTTAAATAAATACATTTATGAAGGATGTAAGTTATGTGCCATGCCACTAAAATTGTTCAGTCAGTTCACTTTTAAAACATCGTTTTTTTTTGGTTCAATGTGTTTTGAAAACAATGAGTTTCGCAAAAGATTCTAAATGTATTTTAGTTTAGATAATATTTCTGTGATCTCATCGGGATTATTTGCTAGGGGCCTCCAATATGGCGGGCCAGACCAACCATGTTACAATAACTTAAAGATGTATCTGAAATCATTACCTTCATGTGATATTGCTGCTGATTTTCTGTTGCCTGGTAAGAAAACGTATTACAATAATTCCTCTATACAATAAAACGAAAAGTCACACATTGGGCAGATAACTTCTCCTATAAATGTAATTGAAAAAATAATAGTTTCCTTAATTCATGTTGACTTTTGAACGGTAACACACATTACAATCACTTGCAGCAGTTGTCTAGTGTTTGGGAAAGTAACACAAAGCTTATCGCAAACCATTTGTTTATTCGTGATAGATCTACTACATGGCCTATCTGATACCTCTAATGTATTTTACCCGTATGTGCCAAATGACGGTGATGGCAAGCTAAAATCTCCATTCTGTACAACCGTTATATTGTTGTACTGCGACAAAAATATAAACTTCGGTTTTTCTTGACACCCCCCCCCCCCTCACCTTCACACATCCATACCCACCGCCACCTTCAAAACATTAAACCAAGAATGTTATGCTTAGCTGAATATAAATTTTTTTAATTGCCTTTATTTCTCAAAGCAGGAACTAAAACCAACCATGCATGCGTCCTTTTGCTACTAGCGCAATCTGAACCATTTTGGTCCCACCGTGTCTGAAATTTCCCTCATAACAACAGGCGTTTTTTTTCCTAAAGTAAAGAATTTAGAACATTCAGAAAAGATGAGGATTTTCCAAGATTTTTTTTAGTTCATTCTGTTTCATATCCAAATCGTGACTCGCTTCATTGTAACAAAAGCAGCGTACACCCAGCGCTGCCAAGGGTTTAGCGACGATATACACATTTAATTAAATATGTTATTATGTATTCATTAAAATAGTGCTTCCTACACAAAACTATTTTAACGCGGTTCTTGCTAAATTGGTATGCATTAAAACAAATCAAATCTAAACCTAAAATCTAATTTCCATCGTGCCTAAACTCAAAACACGACATTATATGTACTTTATTATGCAACATTCCGAAATTAATTGTAATTTCAACGGAACTGCTACCTTTAACGTAATACCAATGCTTATGAAAATACATGGAAATACAGGTGGAACTCTACTTCACCATTTGCAGGGACTGACTCAAAAGCTGACTTAACATTTCTTGTACACAAAAAGTATCGCAATCGTTAGACTGCATGATGTAGATATCGTTTGTTGTTTGATGTTCACCTTTTTGAATTTAGCCTCTCTGTATGATTCATGAAAACACGCAATAAGAACACCAGGATGAATCTTTGTGTTGGGAAGCCACCAACGTCTTTGAGGTGTTACTATTTTTAGATCTCAATTCAAAGGGTTAAAAATATACGAGATAGATTGCGCAAGTCTGTTTATTCTTTAACTCGAAAACGTTTTCTTATCTATGCCTATCTTGGGATTTCCCTATTAGAAGTTTAGTTAATGCAAAAGATGAATTCGTCAGTTTGCGAAGCGTAATAGGTCACACAATAGCTCATCACGGGCAGCCTAGCTTTGTGGGTGGTTGTCCTATAGAAATACCATGTCTTCACCGAGCGTTTATAGAGGGCTTGAATAACCATAGGCGTTGGTCCTCGAATAAAGCAATTACCAAAAATGTCATTTTGAATTATATTTGATTGACTAAGAACTATTTTTATATTGCACGTAAACAACAATCTCTGGTCTTTTCCATAGAGTCAAGATTTGTCAGCACAACAAAGGATTTATGTTATACTTTTACATTCGTACACACAAAAACTTCGCAGCAAATAATAAGCCTTTTCGGACTTACGTTATACTACGGCGCACCTCTTATGGCCACCCACATTCAGGCTGTTTTATACCAATGCTATGTACAGCCGAATTCGCCGTTACTTTACACGTTTTGCTCTAGTGTCCAGAGGTTTCATTCTCGTATTTTAAAATTTAATTATTCTGTGATAATTTTCTCAATATTAACCCGATTTGTTTCTGAAAAAGCAGTTCATGCTGATTGCCTCTCTACTTTATCCTTGCACTTAATCTACCTATTACATCTATAATCTCTACCACAGATGAAAGTGCAGATAAGCAGATAACAAAATACGACGTTTTTTTTCTATCCGCTATGGTTTGCGTGATGTGATTTCTATGCAGATTCGATTCAATGCTTTTAAATACAACTAATTCACCCAAGTTCTACAGGACGCCCCGGGGTAATTTAAGCACACAAGGCTATTGTAGAGGGATTTCCTTTACCTGGTAAGCTTGTTTTTCGCATACGTTGCAGGTGTTTTTATTTTCAACCAGGAAGAAATCGTTACTGGAGCGTGGCTTTTTTTTAATGTGCGAGCATTGTTAAATTCCTTCATGGTTGATGATTCTCAAGGTGAAAAGAATTGATGGCGTTCCTTTTTTTAAACGATACAACTATTAATTTTTACTTATTTTAATTACAAACTTTCAATTGTCTAATTTTTGTGGGAGTGCATTATATATGCTGAGCTGCAGTTTCAAATCCCAGTTTTAGTACACAATAAAAAGTATTGAAATCTATTAGCAGTAAAACAAATTCCAGTTCATCTTCTACTGGTTTTCTAACAGTATCTGAACGTAAATATCCGCC